CTCCCAGATTTCTCCTTTGCTCCGTGTGGAACTTCCTGGTATGCCTCGGCGATTGAGTGCAAGACCTTCTCAGAGAACACGTCAATCATAGAACGAACAGTATGTTTTATATCTGACGGAACTTCCTGGAATGCTAGAGTGATTGAGTGCAAGACCTTCTCAGCAAGCATGTCAATCACAGAGTGAACTGATTGTTCTATATCTGACGGGTTGGCCTGCTCAGCAATTGAGTGCAAAACCTTCTCAGCAAATATGTCCATCGCAGAATGTACTCTATGTTCTATATCTGACGGAAATTCCTGGTATGCCACTGCCATGGACTTCAAACCCTTCTCAGCAAACATGTTAATCACAGAATGAACTCTATGTTCGATATCTGACTTGTTATGAGCATAATTATTTAGGATATGTTCTGGTTTACCGATGCTGACCCTGTGCTTTTTTCCTTTGCCATCTGAATAAGTATGTGATGTTTGTTTTTCAGTTGGACAGCAACGAAGGCGTAACCTTATTCCAGCCCGTCTAGCACATTCCTCTGAATTACAGGCTCGAGCTGCCATCAGAGCAACGGTATCTTTATTGATGTCGTTGGCAAAAACCTCAATAAGGTCTCTTTGAACATCAAGTATGCCAAGTGTTAGGGTCCCCGTCATGTCACTACAAAGCACGTCCATACAAGCCATATCAATTATAGTTGTCATACTTTTTATAACATAATGAGAACTAGTAACAGTGCCATGTCTCATTATGAGTAAAAGAGTGAGTGGTATGCCAATTGGAATTCCACCAATGAGGAGCACGAGAAGATTGTCGATACCAGAACGATATGCACGGTGTTGGATACAGTACATGACAATGATCTCCACCATCATTACCACAGCAACAAAATGGATGCAGAAGTTTCCAATACCTTTGGAAACACGTCGAAAACATTCCACTTGGTTGGAACTTTTAACAACGTGGGGAGCTGCCGCATTCCTATATCTGGTACGAACTCCAATAGCGATAACGACTGCTATAATTTCTCCTTTTTGACAGGTTGAACCAGAGTAAGCACAATCTCCAATACGTGATTTTGTTACAGGAAGAGATTCACCTGTCAGATCAGACGGGTGGTCAATTTTCACGACTGGATCAGTAATAAAGAAATTGAGGACACGAACATCTGCAGGAACTATGTCTCCCATTTTTATATGGATCATATCCCCTGGGACGAGGTTAGAACTGTCTACTTCACACCATCGTCCATCTCGAAGAACTCTGCAGAACTTGTGTAAAAATTGGACCCGAGCTGCTATATCGCTAGTTAGTTTAACCGCAACAAAAGTGTATGATGAGTTAGTTACAATTAGAAATGTAACGATACCCAAAAAAAGCTGCCAATCTGGAGGCCTTCCTCCTCCATTTGCGAGAACAATTGCCATGATAGCAGCAGCTGCCATAGTCCGTGAGAGAGGGTTCCATGAATATCTCAAAAAATTCAAGAATTTACTCTCCATCTTCTCCTCCAGCTTGTTGTGTCTATAGATGGACAACCTCTCTTCCACATCAGTATAAGTAAGACCCTCCTTGTTACATTTCAAATTCTCAAAAACTTGTTCAATCGGTATGTTTTCCAAATCTACCAGATCATCGAGCCCCATATATTAAGACTCAATTAGTTCTTCTCCAATCCCTAGTCAAGACATGAGTAAGACTTTAAACTCACAACAAATGAGCCATTTTCTTTGGCATTACTGAAACATGTCTCTTATAAATCACAAGACTCAGCAATTCATGAAATTATAGGTTCAGAGTGCAAATGAAAATAAAATTCAATTCGTAAGACTAATATCATCAGGAGATAAGCTTAAGAGATCGACGTATATATATATGCACGTTCGACTAAGCATTGGAAGTTGGAACCAGGAGTTATTACGTACTTCATTTGCACAATTCATAAGACTCGTTTAACAGATTGCAAGATGAATCATCAATAAATTGTCATAAGTAGCCTTGAGGTCTTTGAACACTTGCTTACCAATGATTAATTCAGATACTCCAAGCTGATGGAAAATATATATGCACAAATATGTGGAAGCTATTGAAATCAGACATGCATGAACAGGGGCGTTCATAGGGTTGCTAAATTATGTATGGTCAAATTTCACTTTAAGGAATCCTTCAAAACTGATTAAAATCAAACATATATAATATCTAAAAAAAATACCTGTCTAGCGGGAATTTTCTGAATGAATGACTTAGGATCAAGTTTTTAAAATTCTTCAATATCGGATTTGCTGTGTAATTATTCTAATTTCTCTGCTCTGATTATTATTATATATACACAAAAGAGTATTTAAGTGTCACAACTACTTTAGGATTCTCTAAAATAAGGTTTAAGAGATTTGTACTCGAATGTTATGCAAAGTAGTTACGACTCACGAGTGGAAGAGTAATGCTCTCTTTCTAAAATCACATGGTCACATAACTGAAGAATACTAAACTTTCGGAAGATCAGTAACTTACTTTTACTTCTTTGTTTTTTTAAAGAAATTAAATAAATCTAATAAATAAGATAGTGAAATAATGAATCATATATATATATATATATATATTCATTCTCCTATGCAAAAATGTGTAATTGTTAAAATTACACTTAATTAGAAATTATGGTTTATGTATGTCCAATTGCTAGAATCAAATCATCCCTTCTAGTTATATTATTTAGGAAACATTATACTGTGTGGGCTATCTATACATCATATTGATTAATTAAAATATATGGATTAAATGCATGTACGTAGAATGAATCCCGAGTAATATACGTATATACCGGTTTGATATGAATTACATTTGCATATGTATTAGTATTAGGTACAATATGATCTACAATCTCAAGGTACGTTATTTTATTATATATGTGTGCTAATTATCTTTTGAGTATTTAATAGAATATTATTTTAATGTAATCATGCAAAAAGAGATAAGAAAAGAAAGGGTGCTTTTATGATTCTTCATGCAACACAAGAGATTTGATTGAAGATATTTTATAATTAAAAGAGGTTAAGGAATTTTATACAAGATTTGGTATTGTTTTTATGTAATAATGCAATAACCTTGTCAACTCTTATCTTATCATCAACATTAAATTAAGTATTGTTAATATTCTAGATTTTCTCGAGTTTGGTCCCACGTAGGAGAAGGGATAGTATGATTAAACTAAAGTTTTTTTAAAATTTAAAGTTGGCTGCGAAAGCACGTTTTGTAGCGTCCATCATATCCGGTTGGGTCAATTTTTCAAATATTTAATGATATCTCTATGGCTATAAACAATCGTAAATTAGTAAATTAAAATAAAATATGTTTTTTGAACTAAATTATTTCCAACTATAAAATAAATTATATCTACCTAATATTTTTTTGTTCTACCCAATATTAATACCTATGTAACGACATAAAATATGAAATTTAAACAAATATAATATTTATTAAAATAATATAATAACATAATACATCTAACAATTAAAACAGTATGTTAAAATATAGTGAGACTTTAATTACTTTCTCCATTTTTTTTAGTTGTCATACTAAAAGTTTGACATAATCTTTAAGAAAAATTTAATAATGAGCGATGTTTGATCAATATATCCCTTATTAATTTTTTAATTTTTATTATATACTCCTTTTGTCCCTAATTTTTTATTCAATTTTTCTTTTTTACTTGTCTATTTTAACAAATCAAGAAAGGACATTTTTTTTTTGTCCCTCTTATACCCTCAATTAATTAATTTTGAAAAAGAAAGATATTCTTGAAATCTTAAAATTTAATTTATCCACTTCATAATAATAGGGGTAAAATGATAACTCACTATGTTAATTTTTTTAATAGATGTATTAATTTAAAAATTGATAAGTAATTAAGGACGGAAAAATGTGCCCCTTATTCTAAAATAATTAATGTCAAGAACAAAGTTAGAAAAAGATAATTGATTCTCTCTCAATTGATAATTATTTAAAAAAAATATAAATAACAACTAAAAAGAACGAATAGAGTAATGGACAAGAATACACGTGGAAACGGAAGAAGTCCCAAAAAGAAAGAAGAATGGCAAAAAAGGGGAAAAGGCGGATCTTTTTGAAAGGGGTGGGCGGCTAGTGCCCAGCTACTAGTGAAGGAAAAAAGAAAAAGGCAGTGCTGAGTCGGATTAAAAAGTGTTATTTAGAGAATCAAGAAAGAGAAAGTGAAGAAATCTATAGCCACATACAACTTATGGCTCTAAATTAACTATCGCTTTTTCTTGCTCACCTGGCATAACACCTCTCACTCTAACCTTTTTCTATACCTAATATCCACAAGTTTGTTCAATACTTGCGTTTCAAAGTGAAATTATAATAATTATATTTATATGTAATTTAAGAAAATATTGTTAAACTCACGTAAATTTGTCATGAACATGTATTTTGATCTATTCTAATTTACGCACGAAAGTTAAAAGATGAAGACAGTAAAAATGAGAATGCTCAAATAAATATGTGCATAAATTAAAAGACATATGATTAGGAACGAGGAGATTAATCTCCTCCTCGTTTCTCCTTCTTTAGTAATTAGTTAGTATTCACAAAGTATTCCTTCATCAATTTTCATTTCTTCAATTGATTTTTTTATCTTATTTTTCTTTCAAATTTTATTTTGATTACACTTGTTTGAGATAAAGATTTATTAGACATAAACCGCTCTATTTATCAAAAGTTGGTATACATCTTACTCTTTCTAAAATTCACTCGTTGGATTATACCGTATATGTTTGATTGCTATATTTTATTTTAATCTAACCAAATAGATGAATTTAAATCTTAAAAATAACAATTTTTTTATTAAGTATATAACAAGAAAGTAGAGGAGAAATTGAGAAAACACCTGTTTTGGTAAACCAAAAAACCAACGAAGCCTAAAACCAGACCCAAAGTCCCATAACAAAGAAAGTGTTAGTGGGTGTCAGATCTCTCTCTCTCTCTGCCTCTGGTGAATGAATAAAGTGTCAAACAAAATTTCATCTCATTTTATCTGTTCCTCTTTCTTTCTGTTCTCTGCTATTATACTGAACTTTTTATCTTTGGGACTTGTCAATGTCTGAAGCAATTGCTATTAAGGATCCTGCCATTAAGCTCTTTGGTTGGACTATTCAGTTACCCCATTTTCCGGCTCCGGCGCCGGAGGATACCGGAGATAATTGTTTCTCAGCTGGAGAAGTCGAGCAAGAGCTCAAGGTATGGCTTCTTCTTGTATATAATGACTTTATTATTGTTTTGAAGTCATTTTGAGACTGGTTGTTGACTTTCCTTTTGGACCATATTGTTAGGGTTTTGGATTTATTTTTTTTTGTTAGATTATACTGAAATGGAAGGGATCCGTATTGGTTATATTTTGGTTCTTTTTTCCTTCTTGGTGGGAATTTTTACCTCTTTTGGCTATTAGGTTATGCTTACTGAAATTTTCTATTTTGGTGTTCCTTTCTTTGTCTGAACACTTAAGTTTTTCTTTTGTTGTTCAATTTTCTTAGATTGTTAGCTATTTTGTAGTGAAAAAAATATACACCGTGTGCAACCAGCGGTTGTGGGTTCCCTTGTTATTAAATACTGAAGTTACCATTTCTTGAATTCAATAGAGTTGTAATTTCTTGTGTTTCCATTCAACTATGACTCAATCTCAATCTAGCTAGGATTGGATCTTGTGTATCCAAGAGGTTCTTTCTAGATTGTAATTTGACTATTTCTACACTGACGTTGGCTTACCACAAGTCTCCTCCTCTTTCCAGCTTGGGATAAATTATGCTTTGCACATAGGAGGAGTTTTCCTTATGTTTAAACTAGTTTTCTTTAACCTGTATTTGACAAGCGGCGCTTGCATAGCTCAAGCAACAGCTTTGCTTTGTTTATCGCTTCAGATTTTTATACATCAAATTTATCTACTTTTGAACATGTCAATTATTGTGGGACGTGAAAGAATTAAAGGACACAAACTGTTGTTGTCTTTTGTTAATTTCTGTAATTGATATGAAATATGATATTATGTAAAAGATATTGCTTTCTACGTGAGATGAATGTTCAAATCTTTCTTAACTACTCTATTCAGCGTTCTTTCTATGATGAACACTCCAAAAGATATTTAAGTTGTCAGGTATTCAAATCCTCTGTCCTCCTTCACTAACTTCTAAATGATGCTCCCTCCGTTTCAGTTTGTTTGTACTAATTTCCTTTTTAGTCCGTTTAAAGAAGAATGTCTCTTTCTCTTGTTGGTAACTCATTAATTCTAACTTTACTCATTTTAAGACCATAAGATTAAATAACATTTTGGTACATTCTACATATCTTTAGCTTAAGAGCACAAGTGTCAAAAGTCTTCTTTACTTTCTTAAATTCCATGTCAAGTCAAAACCAATCAAACAAATTGTATAAATTGTATCGGAGGGTGTATATGACTTTTATGTCTTCCTTTTTATCTTTGACCTCAACATTCTATCTAGGAACTAGCTAGTCACATGCTTCAGTGACAGGGAAGCTCAGTACTCAGTGTAGATATCAGGACCTAGTGAAATCTTGTTAAACACTGCTTGACTCTGCAACTCCCATATGTTATCCGTTACTTGAATGAATTTAAGAAACTAACTTGATTTTTCTCTCTACATACAGGGTCAGTGTGATGATTGTATTGATGACAATGAACATTTGACTACTGAGGATTTACAGGATCAGAATCCAATTCAGCAGAGATGTGATATTATAAAGGAGTCGCCTGATTGTTATGAATCTTCAACAGCCAAAAGGTCAAAAAGTGAAGAGGAACACAGTGAAACAAGCAACTCACAGGAGAGAAACCTGAAAAAACCAGACAAGACACTTCCATGCCCTCGCTGTAATAGCATGGAAACAAAATTTTGTTACTTCAACAATTACAACGCCAGCCAGCCTAGACACTTCTGCAAGAATTGTCAGAGATATTGGACTGCTGGTGGGACTATGAGGAATGTGCCTGTAGGTGCTGGTCGTCGGAAACACAAGAACTCGGTTTTGCATTACAGTCACATATCCGTCTCTGAAGCACTATCAAATGCAAGAACAAATTTTCCTAATGAAACCCAGCAACCTCCCCTCAAGCTCAATGGAACTATTCTGACATTTGATACTGAAGACCCCCTATCTGAGTCAATGGTTTCAGTTTTGAACGTTGCTGATAAAACTATGCAGAATTGTTCTGGGAATGGGTTCCAAAAATATAAAGAGCTTCGAATTCAAGCTGGAGATAATGGAGATGATCATTCCGATGGATCTTCGGTTACTGCTGTAAGTTCAAAGGATAATGATAATGGATTACCTAACACTCCAAGGAAGAACTACAACAGCTTTCCAACTCATTCACCTTGCTTTACTGAAGCTCCTTGGCCATATATATGGAGTTCTGTGCACTGTAGAAATGCAGTACCTCCACCGGGTTACTCCCTTCCTGGCATTCCTATGCCATTCTTCCCTGCAACCACTTATTGGGGTTGTACAATACCAGGTTCTTGGAATGTCCCTTGGATGTTCCCACCCACTGCATCCCACAACCAAATGCCTCTAACTCCTGGTCCTGATTCTCCAACTTCGGGGAAACATTCAAGGGATGAGAATGTGCTGAAATCGAAAGGCACTGAGGAAGAGCAACGAAAAGAGAGTGATCCTGGGAAGCGTCTATGGTTTCCTAAAACATTGCGAATTGGTGATCCAGGAGAAGCTGCAAAGAGTCCTATCTGGGCAATATTAGGAATAAAACATGAGGTTGTTGATTCAGTTGGTGGAGGTCTTCTCAATGCCTTTCTGCCAAAGAATGATGAGAGGAGCTGTGTTTCAGAAAACTCTACTTTATTACAAGTCAATCCAGCAGCAATGTCCAGGTCGTTAAATTTCAATGAGAGCTCATAAGCAGGTGTGTTGATAAGCTTTGTAAATGTTATAAATGGTGGTGGCAAGACAGGAGTTATTCAGCTGACTATGCTTCACAGTTGTCTGCCACTGGCATTTCCGTTAGACCAGTTATTCATACTGTAGTCCAGTGAAAGTCTAGATGTAGACTGAATGTTAAGTTTTTTACAAAATTAGAATAGATCAATCTTGCTGTTAGTTCCCTCCTTTTTGTGTGAGTGAGGCCGGTGTGTTTTGTTTTCTAGTTGATCTTTCTGCGTATTAAGTTTCTTAGTTGATGTGTATATTTGTATTTGAGAAAGCGAGACACACATACTAGAGTCACTGTGTGAAAATCACGTGGTAGAATAAGTTGGAGGTGAAATGAAAGAGTTCCTTATTTACCTTTTTGTCTGCTTCAAGTTCTATTATAATGCACCACTATGAATGGAGCTTCACCATGCATAACTAAACTTTCCTTTCTTCCTGTTGGCCTTCTTTTCTTCTCTTCTCTCTTTTGGAGAACTTAAAACTATTTTCAGTTTAAATGCTTATCTTGTTCCTTTCCAGAAACTGAATGGGGGCTATTGTCCAACTCCTAGTAGTTGTATATGCAACTATAAATGGGACTGCATTGAGAGGGGGAAAATAATGGTCAAAGTTTGAGATATTCTAGTATTTTGTGAAGAACTTGACAACATTCATTTTCAGGGAATGGGGTGGTTTGCTGTGGAACTTATCATGTGGCTTCTGCAATAGATTACTATTGTTTTATGCACAAAAATCATTTGTTGACTAATTGAAAACCTATCCTTTGTAGATTCTCTTGAGTTATACAAGTTTCCTTGATAACAAACTATTCAAAGCACATTTGACATTACTTTTACAGTTGCTTTGGGATTCCACATCTGCTTCCTGGGACCAACATCAGGCTGATTCATAATTAAAATGATACTACAGAGAGAAGTTGCCAGATGATTTCCCTTTTCATACCACTTGATCTTCGCAGCTATTTGATTTCTTGAAGGAGCTAGGTTAACACATTAACGAACTGTATAAACCAGTCAAGTTCCCTGTCATTAAGATTTCATCTAACTGTGATGGAGGGTTAGAAAATAATTTTTTCCAGCCTAACTCTCACTGCTAAAGTAGTTTAATTTACTTTTACAATGGTGACACAGATTATTTGCTCATACAGGTGCAATAATGCAGAAAGTCAGACCGCCCCTCCAACCTTAGTCAGAGCCTAGAGGGTTTGAACTTTGAATCGAGCCCCTGGGAATGGAAAGCCCCTAAAGAGAGTGCCCTTTTAGTGAACCTTACACGAAACGAAATATTGGATTAGTTGGATCAATGGGTTTCATTTACTGTATGCACAAAATTACATCAAGACAGACACTGATAGAATGTTTTTATCAATTATTTCTTTTGCGATTTGCTTTTCCTTGAGCTGAGGGTCCAAAATAGGCGTAAGGTCGGTGTACAAGCTGTTTGAAGTGCGTGTCTGATGCACAATGCACTGTCTATGACTAGTTATACTTTCCTCAACTATAATACCATTCACAGAAATTAAAGGGGATCTTGTTTGATTTAAGAGGAGCTCAGAATGAACTAATTTTGTTATTTGTCTAAGAATTTAATTTTGGTGTAGTCAAAACTATAGTGTTTCTGTTTGTTCAACAGACTGAGGCTGCCTGGAAAGCTCAAGTTGTCTATAGTTGCAAGCTATGTGCTTTATAAAAGTTTATGACGTGTTGGAGTATGGCAAAGTTATTGGGATTGAAAATCAAAAGTCAACTTTCATTAAAAATAGGTCCATGCTTGCACTACTTTCCAAGTGATTCTTGAACCAAGGAAGCTACATTAAAAAGAGGAAGAGTTTAATTGGAGGAGTAAAATGGCGGTGTAAATAAAAAGAAGAAGCTGCTTATGTTGCTGCCTAGATAAAGTGCATTTGTTTGTTGAAGGTAAAGTTAAAGCGTGGAGATGTCCCCATCCAAGACAACAAAAGATAAAATTCAAAAGCAAAGCTTTTAATTAAGTAGCCACTAGCAGAAAATACTAAATGGTGACACGTGATGTGGGAAGTACTTCCCAACTTTCGATATTCAAGCCATGCTTAATTACTTTGAGTGATACTAGTAGTACTTTTTTCGTCCCAAAATAATCCATTTGAATCGGAGAAAATATTTTGTATGTCCAACCATAGTCGTCCATTACTGACTTGACATACATCTTAAGAAATACTAATGAATAATATGGGTAATATTACTGTATTATTCTGTGATTTTATTAAATTTAATGCTTTAAAAAACGTCTTAAATGATACATATTCTCTCTGTCTGTAATTACTTGTTCACTTTTGAATTGACAAACCTATTAAGAAAACAATAATTGATATAGTGAGTTTACCATTTTACCCCTATTAATTATGAAATAGATGAATTAAAAACTTAAGATTTTCAATAAGTTATACATTTTTTTAAGTAATAAATTGAGGTTGTAATAGAGAATTTTTTTTTTGTCTTCTTGATTTGTTAAAATGGACAAGTAATTAGGGATATAGAGAGTACTATTTAATAGCAAGGATAAAAAGACACAAAAAATAAATTATCTCTTAATTTTATAAATTAGACTAATATTATTGAATAACTATTTTTAATATAGTGAACAACTTTTGTTCGGTGGAAGGAGTAGTAAACTTCGGCCTGCCTCATTGCGATTTGTGAACATTCATGTGCACGCACACAAGTGATCTGACAATAGCTCCTCTTCACCCTCTACAATTCAATTAAAGGTTTTTAATGTTTCATTGCATGTGATGAATCAATTACTAAGGTCTTCATGAGTTTAGACTTTGCAATAAAAAATTTAATCACATTAAACAATCTTTGACAAGTTTAACTAACTGAATTTTTACACAATCAAATGTCAGAAAATAGCCGTATGTACTTCTTTTTCCACTTCTACTTGTTTATTATTATACTAAAAATAAATATTTATCTTTACTTCATTTGTTTGAAAAATTAATATATAATATATTATTTAGTTCCTACTTTATCTTTGTTATTAACTATAGTAATTTTTCAAAGCATTGAATTTACTATATTTAAAGAATAATATAATGAAATTGTCATTCTATTTTTTATTTTTTTTTAAAGTGTATCAAAAATAAAATATACATATATATTTACTAGACAAGTCAATATAGTTCCTCATCGTTTTATTTGTTAGTATATTTTTTTTGTTTTGATCCACCAAAAACTATGATGACTTTTTGAAGTGTTGACTTTTTTTTTAATTTTGGACAACCTTGATCGAATAGATACAATATCTCATAAACTTTATGTTGCATGTTCAAGGAACATAGTACTATTTTAATATACACGCATCAAAATACAAATATGGTATTAATAGTGACCCCTTAAAATAAGTTAAAGTCAATTAATGTCACACACCATAATAAAAATGAAAGTTGGTAAAATCCACTTATCAAAATTTAGAAGGGCTTAGTAAAAGGAGTAATAAACGTGATTCCGAAAAAAATAAACCCCCTTCATCACTAAAAAAAATGTGCTTGAGACTTGAGTAACAAATATTTGAAGTAATTTCTTTTTATGTTGCTCATTCAATAAAAATATTCTTCTTTATTTGTGCGACATAAATATCGCCAAATTATACTCTTTTTGACTTTGATTTTGATTTATCGAAACATAAATATAATGGTATTTTTACAAAATGTAGTATTGTAAAAATATATGATAGGAGTACTAAAATATAAATTTATGGTTTATACACGTCAATATCGGATCTGAGAAGGTCTCCAAAGTGAATATATAGTGATTTCTAGGTTCTCTAGTTTACGCCAGCTGCCCACCTTACTAATAGCCCAAAAAGAAAAAAACCCTTCTTCACATCACTCTTTTAAATACCCCAAAAGGTTCAGAGACTCATTTTCAAGCTAAATTAGAAATCTATCAATGGGGCGTTCCATTTTGGTTGTGGCTGTTTTTGTCATGCTTTTCTTCTCTGTTTCTCATGGTCATTTTTTTACGACTCTAGTGCTTTTTTTTTCTTCATTATTGGGCTCTTGTCATTTTAATTACTCATGACTTGTTTTGATTTGTGAATTGTGTAGGTGTAGGTGTAGGAACCGGCAGAAAAACGATCGGTTCTTTTTCCCATGGCGACACCCATACAGTTTCACACCAGGTCCGTTTCTTTTTCTTCTAATTTAAACTTGCATCTTTAGTCCCTGAAAAATTGATCTTTGTAATATTTGAATACGCATGTTTCACGTTTAAGTAACTCAAATCTGCACTTTTGATTTAGTGAATTAGTATTAACTATTATGTATTATGTTAAATTTGTACAATTATTTTCTAATAACAATCTAGATATGTATTACTTAGGTAAAGGGATCATTTTAATGTTAAATTTGGACATCATTTTTTTCCAAATAAATTCAAAACAGCATGTGAGAAAGGAGTTTTGGAATAAAATTATTTCTTATCTATGTGATTCTGTTCATTTTGATCCTTCAAATATAACCTATTTGAGCATTTTTAGTCCCTTAGCGCTTTGCTAAAGTTCTTAACAGGACCCCGTTTAAAAGTAACTATATTAAACCCATGTGACTTGTAAAATGTAAAATACATTGGACAAAGTCATTCCCCTTGTGAAATTCGATAGCCACATTTCAAGGCTGATTTGTTGAGTTTTTCAGCCAATTGTTTTGGTCCATTATGGTTGTCGCACATTAAGGCCATTTTGTTACTGTTTTTATTTTAGTAGTTTCATTGTTTGGGTCTAAAAGAAGAGCATTTATTTTAGTTTGGGCTTTTGACATAACAGGAAAAATCAAGAGAAACTTATGAGCTGGACTATATCGATGCTGGGCCAAACTTCAATTCTCATGGTAGTGTTCCTGTTCCTTCTTCTCCCACACCAGAAACACCTCCTCAACATTGAACTCATTCTTCCTTTTATTTTCCTAACTCTAAAAATGTGGGCTTTAAATATCTTATAGGCCTTTGTTTTTAATATGGTTCATTTTCAGTTAGTAACTCTTCTGTTCCCCTTTCTTTGTACACAACAATAAAATAATTGGTACTAAACTAATAGAATACCATGATGCAACTCTTAAGAATTATCAATAGTAAAAAAATTCTTTTTGTATTTGGCACTCGACTAATTTGAATTCGTTCCACTTTGAGTATCAATTATTAAGGGTTGTATGATAAGATAGTCATATCAC